GACTGCTCCATTATTTTTTAACACCAGGTGAAACTTTCTATTGCCAGACCAGTCTCATTCTCTCTCTTGAAGTTAATTTAGCTGTATTACTGGTGTTGGATTTTTTTGGATTTTGTAGTATTGGTACTGTTGGTAAGCTGCCTTGAGAGAACCTATTTTGAAGAGAGGGGAATAAGTTGTGTAATTAATAAAATGACTTGTTTGTTTTACCAGATAACTTATTGCTCAATAAATGGCTAAAGCTTTAATTGCTTTTGCTCCTCTGACACTCAAATTTCTTCAACTGTGTCTCTGGGTATATTTAATGCTGAAGCATCTAGCCAGAGCTGTCTGCTTCCATTGTTAAAAGGGGCAGTGTGGACCATTCTTGGGTTTTGAAAAGCAGTCTCTGTTCTAATAAAGGATAAAATAAGCTTTCAAATATATTGTTATCTTCTATGTTGGGGAATGCATACAAGAGAAACATGCATTGATGAGAGCCACATACTTGATGCAGAAAGTGCCATAATGCAAATGGTTTCTTCATCATTGTAGATTTTACCTGGGTAGCATCAGAATGAAAAATGACTTATTTATGACTATTTATACTATGTCATGATTGTTGCATAGGAAATGAAAGAAAAAAGATCAATGTTTGTTTTTTAATTTTATCATATTTGTGTCAAATACTTTGTAGTGCTTAATAGCAATCTTTGATGTGTTTCTGTTGAACAAGTAAAAAGCAGATGGAAATTTAAACTACAGGACAGTGGCTAAGAGTAGGAGCTAAGAAAGCGATGGTTCAAGGCCTCTTTGATTTCTAAATAGTCTGACATAATCACTGCTAGAATTGTGCTTCTGGTTATTATTTTCAGTAATGGAGTATTAATATATTTAGTCAGAATAATGATTTTATATGATAAGCATTTTCCCAGCCTTCCCTCAAATAGGGACCGATTGGTTATGTAGATATTTCTCTTTCCCCCCCTCAGATTATATCATCAGGAAGCTAAGATAAATTGTGAGAGAGTGATGGCCCAAAGTTGTCCACTGAATGTGGATTTGAGTCTGGGTCTCTGTTCATACTAACCATTTTATCACACTGCCCACTTATTAGTGGATAAGGAAAATAAACAAAAGATTTACAGGCTACTGAGGGCTGTGGCAGAGAAAGTTTGGCATTATTTTATCTTGGCATCATTCTTTCACTGTTGGTATGGGAGAATAGTTACAAATATATAAGAATAGTTTAACAAGAACTTGTTTAAAATCTTGGTTAAAAATAATGAAAAATTAAATACAGTAGTTCTGCAAGATTGTTGTGTGAAAGGGAAAAGAATTAAAAAGTTGGACTCTGGAAACTGAACAGGATTAAAACTGTAATTTGTTACCTTTATCTACTTTTAACAACTAAATACACTAACTAGAAAGCTTATTCTCTTCATAGTGCTTCTCCTCTGCATTCTCCAAATTTGTTGGCTACATTTCCATAATCTCCAGCCAGCACACGCCATATTGGTTGTGGGATGATGGCAATTGACAATAAAAGATCTACAACTAATCAAAGAACATGCTCTTAATTGTATGTATTTTGCTCCGTCTTCAAAACAAATAGGAGAACCCAACATTTGTTGGAATCATGTCCTGCTATGTAAAAATGTGTAGGTATTGTGTCTGCGTGTGTGCCTTCAAGCCAGTTTTTGATTCCTGGCAATTAGTCTCTGCAGTTTTGTTGGCAAGATTTTTCAGAAGTGGTTTGCCATTGCCTGCTTCCTAGGGCTGAGAGAGTGTGACTGACCCAAGGTCACCCAGCTGGCTTTGTGCCTAAGGCAGGACTAGAACTCACAGTCTCCCAGTTTCTAGCCTAGTGCCTTAACCACTACAACAATGCCTTACTGGCTCTCGTAGGTGTAGTGTGAGCATGACTTAAAAACAAACCACTTAGTTCAGAATATGCTTGTGAAGGAGTGTTTGTCTATTCTATATAATAATTAAGATGTCCACAACTTGGACAAATATTGAGATCTCCAAACATCTCATCAAGGAATTTGTCAAGAAAGAAAGGGGCTGAATTAATGTTGAAGTAATCTTCTTTCCTGTGTGGGAAGAAGTGGTTATGTGAGAACTGAAGAAATGGTGCATTGTATCTGGTAAAGAAATAGGTAAGGAACTGAACATTACATTCTATGGTGGTGCTGAAAACTAGAGAGAATTTTTTCTAGAAAAGTGAATATTAAACTAACGCAGCCAAAGAGGATCATTAAAACATTCTTAAGCTACTTAATTCCAGTAGGTGCTTAAGTTTTATTTCAGAGATATGTAGTTGGATAGCTGTTTTTGAAATGTGCTTGTTTAGGTTAAAAGGCCACTAAGAATACAATTGCAGCAAGCTCTTACGAGCTTTATTCTTGTGGAAACATAAGGAAAGTTGGACTTCGATTTTTGTTAAAATACTTTGCTTTAGACTGATCATCAGTCAGTTTTAGATGTCATTTCTATGCTGGGATGAAGAAAAGAACCAGATAAGACTCAATTTTAGGAATATAAGGTTTCTCCTGTTCTTAAATACAGTGTGACATTTGTGGCCAGTGTCCTGATTGGAGCAGGTAACACATACCACAGATGTGACTTCCATGATTTGTTTTATCATGAGATGCTGAGGGATCCCCCTACTAACCAGTCAAAAGTTACAACCCATGATTTGTGCTTGTTCAGACAGTACAAGAAACAAACCATGGAAGAACTTTTTGCAGAATTCTTATCTCTTCCTCCTGCTAGGAGAGGTTAAGTGGAAGTGATTGAAAGTGCACCAGCATGCTTGCTCATTCACAGTAAGCCAAAATTCTTTGAAATTTTGGCCTGAAATTCATGAGCAAGACCTTTAGATAATGCTGTCCTCCCCAGAAAATCACATACATGAACACAATAAGAACATTTAACTTGAGTATATATTCAACATGCTTTTATAGACATGAATATCCTGGCTTGTAATTGTCCACCTGAGAGAACAGAATAAATACCAGTTATTCATCCCAATCCAGCAGTTTTGTGCCAAAAATTGCTTGAGAACAAAAGCTGTTTTGCTCATCTTGAATGTGGTTGAGCTGGTTGGCTGCATTGTTTGATCCCAAGGAGTTACATTTGACTCTTTTGTTCACAGCTATAGTTGGATTGGGCCTACTGTTTATACACGGACTCTTAGAGAGAGAAATGGGAACAAAGAATGCTATTTTATCTTACTTTGTGTCTAGTAAAGAGGAGCGGCAAGTGTAATGCCCTTATATAAATCTGTGGTACAGCTATTTTTAGAATACTGCATACAGGCCTGTCTCCCATTTAAACAATAGAACTGAAAAAGATGTTGAGATGGCAGGAGAGGGGAATTAAGGGTTTGAACTTTTCAGCAAGAAAAGGTTAAAACTTTAGGGGCTTATTAATTAATGGGGGCAGTTAAAGAGAATGATCAAGCATAGATAGGCAATTGGGTGCTGTGCACATGATTTGATTACAGTTTTCTCTTGTGATGAGACACTGAAACTGCCCATACTGACTTGGGGCTAAGTTGTTTAACATATTGGGAGAGCACTATGCTGCCATTGCTTGTATGAGATTCAGACCAATATGTTTGCAGTCATCTCTGACACTATGCACCTTTCTTAACATTCTCAGATTCTAATGAAGGTTTTAAGAGGCATTGTCTCATTGTTTGCTAAGTTCTGATTTAAGCTGGGAAAAATCAATACTATTGAGTTCATAATTTTTCTTTAGAAATATGTTAACTCATATATATAATTAAAAAATAATTTTCTTAGTCTTTATCTGAGGAAAGCAGTAGTTTGTATTTAGGATCAAGTTAAATGCAGGTGGAAATTCCCTTTTGTGAATCCTAAGAATTAAGATTCTTGACCTTTGGCAATGGAAAAGGGAAAGCCTCTTTTCATTAACACAAAATAACTCCCTTGGGTTTCTTTTTCTAAAGAAATGATTGCTCTTTATGCTAGGGATTTGATTCATGATCATGGCAACTGAGGGAATTTAGGTGAGTTCAGTTTTGATTCACTGGTGGAAAATACCTTTTTGAACTGGTTTTGTATTTAGTTTGGCTTCCTGCCACCCCTGGCAAGAGCGCTGCTGGCTTTTGCATCTTGCCTGCTTCAGTGGGCTGCCTCTGGAACATACAATATATGAGACATATTAGCTTCCCTGGGCTCTTCCAGCATAACCATGATTGTAAATTCTGGGACTTGAAGTACACTTGAAGATACCATGATTGGGGAAGGCTGAGCTGAACAATATTTAAATAAAAAATATATTTCATTTGTTAGATTTATATTCTTCTAATCATCAGGGAACCAGCTGAAGGTGACATACATAACACTCCCACCAGTTTTTCCCCACAGCAACCACCCTGTGATTAAGACAGGGCTTAGAGATAGTGATCTCTCCAAGTCATCTGGCAAGTTTTCATGGCTGAGCTTAGGCTTGAACCCTGGTTCTCCATCCCTCATCCAACATCTTAAATACTATACCACAGTGGGTCTCATATGTAGCTTTGTTCTCTGTTTTATTCAGAACTTGTCTTTCCCATTGTAGATTCTTCCATCATTTGGCCACCCACAGTTTTCCCTCAGCCTTTCAGATTTCGTAGCCACACAGTAAAAAGCCACTTGAAGGGCACCATGTTGGAGAAAGCTTTCTTACTGCATTTATCCGATATTTGGTTGCTTATCATTTGATCAGTGATTTCACTTTCTGTTCCTGCTTTATATCCTTTGGTTACTTCACTTCACCATTTTTGGCATTTAAGAAGGTGCTTGCATTTCTGTTCATGTTGTGCTGTATGCCTTTCCATTGGATATTATAGTGACTAATTCGGATAGGAAATCTGTCATTATTCAGTGTGTCTGATGAATAGGTATATACAAGCTCTCTGTAACTGACCAAAATGTACATAACAAATAACTTGTTGTTTCTGTTTTGCCAATTCTACACTTCTAAATTTTATCTGCTTGTTTTTTTAGGCTGCTCTCTGGCAAGGCAGAAAAATACAGCAGAGCTGGCCTCTGCAACGGGAGAGGCTGGACTTCCCAACTCTCTGTGCTGAATGGCTACTATGGCGCCCGCTCTCACTGACGCAGCAACTGAAGCTCACCACATCCGGTTCAAACTGGCTCCCCCATCCTCCTCCCTGTCTCCTGGCAGTGCCGAGAAAAACGGCAACGCCAATAACATCCTTGTTGCCACTAACGGCACCAAAAGGAAAGCTGAGGATTCTAGTCTAGATTTCCGAAATAATTCTACAAAAGAAGAGCTGGGAAAGCTGCAGCCCTTGGTAGCATCTTATCTCTGTTCAGATGTAACATCTGTTCCTCCAAAGGAGTCCTTGAAACTGCAAGGGGTTTTCAACAAACAGACAGTCCTTAAATCTCATTCTCTGTTGACTCATCCTTTCTTGAAAACTAGTGACCTGTTGGGAAGGCCACCAGTGTTGGAGATTTCCTTGGAAAACCTAAAAACCATGAGTACAAGTAATCAAACACCTTTGCCACAAACACCTGTCAATGGCTTGGCTAAAAAATTAGCTAAGACCAACAGCTCTGACCATGAAAGCTCTGTTTCACTTAATGGTGGGAAGAGTGCACCTTCTTCTGCGACCCTCCAGGATGTTGATTCAAATAGACCTGGAGGTTCTGATTTGGAGGATCTGAAGTCTGGTTTGAGCAATTTCACGCTACCACATAAAAGCCCAGATGCAGAGCATGATGCCCCACTTAGCAATAATGGCATGGCAAATAAACATGACCACAGTTCCCCAGAGCAGCAGAGTGGACTTGAAGCGGGTGGAGAGAACAGGTTGCTTTTGTTATCTGGAATGCCTGTTTGTTCCGAGCTTGGAAGCAGTAAGCCAGAGGAACAGAAGATCTCTCTGCCAAACAGTTCCTTTAGCACTCTAGATTCAGATATGAGGACAAAGGTGCTGTTGCGGAGGCAGGCAGACATTGAGAATCGTGCTCGCAGGCTGCAAAAGCGGCTGCAAGTGGTGCAGGCCAAGCAGGTAGAGCGGCACATTCAGCAACAGCTTGGTGGATTTTTAGAGAAAACTCTAAGCAAGTTGCCTGCTTTGGACTCCTTGAGACACCGGAGTCAGCTAATGCTGACCCGCAAGGCAGAAGCAGCTCTGAGAAAAGCTGCAAATGAGACAAGTACCTCAGAAGGACTGAGCAGCTTCCTAAAAAGTGACTCTATCTCAGAAGAACTAGAGAGGTTTACTGCCAGTGGGATGGCTAACCTGCGGTCTTGTGAGCAGGCGTTTGATTCTGATGTCACAGACAGCAGCTCTGGTGGAGAGTCTGATATTGAAGAAGAGGAACTGACCAAAGCAGACACTGAACAGCACCATGTACCCCTGTGAGTAACATGAAGTGTTACGGTTTCTTTACAGTTTCTAATGCTCTGCTTTTCAGACAAGTTTTGTCTCACATCAGTGTTGTTTAACGGACAGCTTAAAACCAGGAGCAAGCAAACTGCAATACCACAAATTAGTTTTAGAAGTGGAAAGTCTGTTTGCTTCTAAGTTATATGAGGTGTAATTTGCCTAAAATAGGTTTCCTGCAATAGAAAAGTTATTTAATGGCGATTGATAGTAGATTGATAGTATCTTACATAAATTAAGTTACATTTGGTTGAAGAGAATAACCTCTTTTAACTATTAATGTGGCTGAGAATGGCCAAGGATCCTTATTGCTTTTTAACAAAGAGAATCCAGTCTACAGTTTTATTCTATGATGGGACCATGGGTAATAGCAGAGAATTACTGTGCTTACAAATGAATGATTCGGGACATGGCAGAAGTTGTTGCATTGAAGTTGTTCATGCTTCTATCTAAATCTAAGCTTCTGTGAGTATGAAGCAGGGACGGATGTTGTGATGCTGTACAGATATTTTTGACTTCCAGATCCCAACTGCGCCAGTTAGCATGAGAAGACAACTTGGAGATTGTAATTTGCATT